CTTTGTCCGCAACTGCACCAGATCCGACAAACGACTCCAGACGTTTCTAGCCGTGGCAGTGGGTCTTTCGGTTTCATGATCAGATGCCTGATGGTTGCCTCCGGTCTGTGTGCCACTCCAACCCCAAGTGGTGCGAGAAGGCTGCCGACAGCTGCCGAAACGTTCTTGACATACGGAAGGGGAAGCCGTGAACGTTCATAGGTATGCGGTAGCATGGCTGCTGCATCCTATAAATGCCGCAGCTCCTTGTGCAACAACCACCCGTTTCTGCTCTTTTGTCTCCGAGGATGGCTTCGAGTAGGAATACTAAACGTCAGGCTAATAAAGCTCTTGTCTCGGCGATCGTGTCTCCCTCTTCAAGACTACTTCCTGGGACTCGGCTCTTCGCTTCTATTGGCTATGTATTTGGGCGCGATGCGCTCCGATCGGCCCGCTGATGGGAAACCTTCGCCTTCGGGAGGCCTCTACGTATTCGCAGATCCGGTTTCTGCACAGGTGTCTCGATAATAATGTGTTACCGAAATGTGTTTCATACAAGCCACCGGTTAGAACGGATTTGGAGAGACGAGCAGTATTTCAGCACGGCAGAAGGATGATCCCAGGGCTCCCCCAAGATTGCCACGCGAGACTTCGTAAGTACCGTCAAAGGATTGACCAAGAAAAGACTAGATGCTGTGAGTTCATGGGTGAAATCGGTACGAATCTGCTCCGGCGGAGGATAGCTGAACAAGCACGCGAACAGAGCACGATACGCGACGCAGCACTGGAAAACAAATTTTGAAAGCTGCCCAATCCAACGTCGCCCAGAAACGACAAACGGGTGCACAACCTGTCATCAAAAGAGCTGACGAAGGATCAAATGCAGGTTTTACGGCTCGAAGCTTCATTTAACACGGCTGACGCCAAACCTGTTAACATGATTGCAGCAGTGAAATCAATCTTTTGTCAGACGGAGGCAACGGAGGAGACTAAGAACCTCATCCGACACCAAGTGTCGTCTCTCCTGATGGCCCACAGGCCGCGGGAAGTGCTTTACAAGGTCGAACGTGATGCGCTTAGAGAACTCAAGGCCGACAAAGACCTGGTCATCGTGCCAGCGGACAGGGGGCGCTCCACGGTTGTGCTGGACAGGACAGACTGCCTTCAAAAAGCCAAAGTTTTACTGGAGGACCGACAGTTCTATGTCCCATGTGCAACGAACCCTGTAAAAGCGCTGACACGCGAAATCAATGCTACGTGGTTGGCCTTGGAGAACTCAGGTGCAATAACACCGACCGACAGACGCATGGCGAGACCCCAAAATACGGCTTTGGCCCGATTCTATGGCCTCCCTAAGGTGCACAAAGACGGCGTTCCTCTCCAACCCATCGTGTCGCTCAAAGGGACTCCAACGTACGGACTGGCTAAGTGGCTGTTCCGGAGTCTCAAGTTCCTGACCGCTGAGTCAGACACCACGGTCTCTTCGTCAACACAATTCCTGGAGAAACTCAAAGGGGTAAGCATACATCCAAATGAGGTCATGGTATCTGTTGATGTTACATCCCTTTTTACTTCTATTCCCCAGGACCTGGCGATCGAGACAATTGAAATGCTACTAAAAAAGCAAATACGATGAAACGGAGAACCGTCTTGGATACGCCCAAATCCTTCAGCACCTGAAGCTCTGCCTCAGGACGTACTTCACGTTCGACAGGACAATCTACGAACAGGTGAAGGGCACACCAATGGGTTCGCCGATTTCGGGATTCATCGCCGAGGCGGTCCTGCAACGGTTAGAGTCGCTGGTCTTCCAACACCACAGACCGAAATTCTGGGCCCGGTATGTGGATGATACCTTCGTCGTCATCGAACGGGATCAGGTGTTGACATTCCAAGAACATCTCAACGCCGTCTTCGCGGACATTCAATTTACGATGGAGGAGGAAGAGAACAACCAGCTGGCCTTCCTGGATGTCCTCGTATGCCGCAAGGATTTTGGTGGACTAAAGACCAAAGTGTTCAGGAAAGCGACAAATACGATGCAAGTACTGAACTTCAACACTAACCACCCAATCAGCCACAAACGCAGTTGTGTAAGGACGCTCTATCGGCGTGTCGAAACGCACTGCAGTGAGCCGGAAGACAAAATTGCTGAAATACAATACCTCCGACGGATCTTCAAAGCCAATGGATACCCGCGCAACTTCTTCGACCGGTGCATACGCAAAAGGGACGAAAGGCCTAACCGCACGGACACCAAGTCTTGGCGGGCACTTCCGTATGTCAAGAACGTTTCGGAAGCTGTCGGCCGCCTTCTCGCACCACTTGGGGTTGGAGTGGCACACAGACCGGAGGCAACCATCAGGCATCTGATCATGAAACCGAAAGACCCACTGCCACGGCTAGAAACGTCTGGAGTCGTTTGTCGGATCTGGTGCAGTTGCGGACAAAGCAACTACGTCGGAGGAACCGGAAGACAGCTCCAAACGAGAATGGCCGAGCACGCGGCAGCGGTGCGCAGAAATGACGCCAGCTCTCAAGTTGCGGCTCATTCGACGAGATCCGGCCACGCATTTAAATTCGATGAGGCCGAAATTCTCGCAGAAGGTGACAACCGAGTGAGCCGGGACCTACTGGAATCATGGTTTCCTGGCCCCCAGTCCATCAACAAGTGCAACGATCTTCCCATTCAATACAGCGTGCTGAGACTTCGTCTAGGCGGAGTAATTGGCCACGCGCGGAGCGCACTGGTGAACACTCTTCCCAACACCCGGGTCAACGCGTCAGATGGTCGAGCAATCATCACGCTAACATCCAACGCACGTGATGAAATTGCAGCAATTATCGACTCGAATGTCGGCCATCAAGCAATGATCACACCAAGTCTGACAATCCCGGATGAAAGGGAAGCCGTGAACGTTCATAGGTATGCGGTAGCATGGCTGCTGCATCCTATAAATACCGCAGCCCCTTGTGCAAAAACCACCCGTTTCTGCTCTTATGTCTCTGTTGATGGATTCGAGTAGGAATTCTAAACGTCAGGCTAATAAAGCTCTTGTCCCGGCGATCGTGTCTCCTTCTTCATTTCTACTGTGTGCCTACATGGAACTATACGATCTTCTGTGAAAATTTTCAACAGCCCAAGCACTTCCAATTAAAAGAATTCGAAGTGAAATTAAACATCCGCACCGGATTCCGGACTCTTTTATTCTGAAGGATGAATAGGCCACAACTTAGTGGAAAAATTTGAGAAAACAATTGTTATGTAGTAAGCCAGCATTGAAACTAGATCGACGTCCTAGACAACCGCGTTTAACCAGAACTTCGAAGTTAAAACCCAACCAGTGAATACTTACAATTGTCCTTTTACCTACTCGGAGACTAATATAAGGTTAATTCAGTCGAGCAGATTTCTCATGCATCCTGATAGTATGGATAGGTGGTCCCTTAAATTTTCTTAAATGACCATTTGCTATTTAATTGTACGCTGCACTTCCAGTTAAACTGGATTAACGTTTGCGAGTACACACTTTTGCTTTGCTAAACTACGGCCAAACTACTTGACTGAAAAGAATGTATAGAAGTCATTTAGAAGTTCCATCCGTCCTACAGCGTTCCAGCAAGGCAGTCTAAATTCTTGCACCAGCAGGCAGTTGATGACCAAACGACCGGCAGAGGGCGATACGCGAGCCCTACACTGATTAAAACGGAGCTCAACCTACTCATATATACGTCCAACCAAGCTTGCTTTGCCTTTACAAATCACAGTCACCTCCTAATAACACACATTCCCGACCCTTGTCCTCAAGACTAGATCATAATCTTCACCACCGCAATAGCAAGCTCAGACCACCATTAGCCGCTTGTTCCCGTCATAGTGCAACAATGTGTTCTTACAATTGCACTGCACTGTCGTTCGCTTATGGTATTGAATAACTGAAAGCGTGCAATAAACTGCAAAATTACATGTGTGGGACCTCACCAGCAACACTAGCTGTGCGTTATCTCACAACACACTATTGCATTGTTTCATTTGCCGCTCTTGTTAGTCGATACTCTAAAAATTACCACAAAACATTTCCTAACAGCAGATACCTGAATTACTTCCTATTTAATAATTCAGTGATGATCAGACTCACCCTTTGGCTTTCATTTTTTAATTTCGCAGCCATTTATATTGATGACCTTGCCATCATTAATCGCTCCAAATTTTAATGTGGTAGAAGATTATTTGATCGTGTGTCAGGAAGATAACTAGAAATGGACCGTTGTTGAATGATCACTAGTTTGTCCAGAGTGATGACAGTTCACCTGTCACATTCACATCTCTTCTGACGACGCTTTGTCCTTACGCGGTAGTTTATGGCTTTATCCTCCCCCGTCATCGGAGATCTTTCATCATGATTTCAAAAATCGGCCAAGCACGCGTTTTTGGGTTTTTTGGCTAGTATCTTTGTTGTCCGTATGCTATACTGTAGTCCCAGTATTTTCTACTAGTCGCCTGCAGGCACTTTAGTGAATGTAAAACGGTTCTCTGCCCGTGGCTAATGGCAATAGGTCCAAAAGCTCCTGCCAGATTTCTGTCTGCACGTACAGACTTTTGTTCAAACTAATTTTGCTCCATGTTGGCGAAGAATGTTTACGAATATTATAAGGCACCGAAAAAAACTGACCTATGCGGCAGGCTCGAACATGCAATCTGACACAATGGTGGTGCCCCTAACCTCTTGAGCAGTCACTATTGTTTTCCCATCACGTTTGCTGGCTTGTTCGCAAGCGCGTCTTGCAAATGGCATGTATAGTTTGCACCAACTTGCGAATTCTCGAAGTTGCTTACAAGCGATTAAATTAAAAGTGTGCGTTAAAAGACACAGTACGCTCATCTCATGACATACTACCTACACGGTATTGCGTGTTCATGTAACTGTTTACCAAATATGGATTTTTTATGATAAAATCATGAATCTACTTACTTGAGTATGGATTTTTTATAGAAACCATGGCTGCTGGCACCAGATATTCTGGTCGCTCGTAGCCGACAAATACGGAAATGTTGAAGATATCCAGTGGTTTTAGGCCAGAGACCGTGTATGTTCCATTAAAATCGTCATAATCGAATACGAACAGTCTCTCCTCGACATCCACAACAAAGAATTTGCTTTCCGAATTGGTGTTGATTGGTGGCTTCCAGGCCAGCTTAATGGATGTGTTACTAATTGCCTCAGCAGTCAGATCTCTCGGCATGTCAGTACCTTGCACCAAAGAGAAGAAACACCAAGATAATGATATCGAATTGAGAGATAACCTGCGTGTTTTCTGCAGGTAATAGTAAATTACAAGGAGCAAGTTGGTTACATTAATCTATATTCATGCAAGATAACTTAAAATGTAACCTTTTGCAAACGTTGTTGCAGTTGCCTCCGCCGGGGTGCCGAAGTAATGTTTTCCTGCATATTTACCCTCCAAAGTCATTGTGTAGGTCGTCGACGGGTCAAGATTCCCGACCAAAGTCCTGCCGCCTGTGCCAACCAGCCGGCTTTTTCGATGGCCTGTAATGTTCAGGCGATAATTGTCAAATTGAATATTATGATCCATTGGATGTTCCCAGGTTACTCTTATTGTATTCGAGCTGTACACATCAAGCCTCATTGCAGTTGGCCGATCATCGCCTAAAAGATAGGATACATTGGTTAGTAGGGCCAGCGAACATTTGGCATTTGGCTTGCGTTCTCTGAATTTAAGTTAAATAATGGGCTATTTTCCGGTACGATGAAAATCCCTATACTTTACAATGACTACGTCAATCAGGTAACCGCTAGCAACGTAGACTGTTATCCAGACTGTTGCAAGTGATGACTTGTGTGTCTGTGTGTATGACATTCAAAGTGTTGTACGTGTGCTTCCCCCACGAATACAACATCGTCACTCCGCCGACCTCCACAGCGACGGCACGCAGCACTGCCACCATCGTCGCGGCCACAACCATCACCAATGTTGTCGACGATCAAACTGCGGATTTCCTGATGTCCCATCACACCCGCCAGATACCCAACGACGACTATTGCTACCTCATCAGTCCACGCCGCGCGTAATAACACTCTTGACACCTAATGGAGCGTAAACTCAACAACTTTCTCTTGTAACATCGGAATTTCGGAATCGATTCCAACCTATTCTCATTGAGATCGCACCTTTACCCCACGTGCGAGCCTGGTCAGTCACTTGACAGTTCATCTCATCACGACTGGTGCACAAGTGCCGGGAACCCTGAATTACAATCAGCGCATCTAAATGGACTCTCGGCGTTATCCCTGCATTCCTATTCGGCCACATCAGCATAAAAGACTGTGAAATCTATCACAGTGTCGACAGCCAAGCACATCTCGTGCAACCGGTAGCTCTCCCACATTTATCACCACCTACTTCTTCTCTGCCATCGTGGCGAACGCTAGCAGCATCACCAACGCAACCAACCTATTCAGCTAAATTATCACCGCATATACAAATCATGCATCGGCCTGATTGGTCGCCTTCGAATCCACTGCACAGTCACTGGCGAACCATTGCCCGGGGCATTGAAAAACATCACCGCAACAGTATCAATCATCTAACCTACTAACGCACATTTAGTTAACGCCTGGGCCTACTGGGTCACTTGCACATTCATTAAGACTTGAAGTATGACACCCTCAGTTAAAACCGTCATTACGGTTGAACCTCACCGGCACACAAGAATCTGTCCCTCATCAGCCGGCAGGGGTGAGAACCAGGCTCCACTCACGTGCTCTTCGTGCAATCGTGGTTCTTTTTACCCAGAGCAGGGTATGTGATGGTACGCACAGTTTCGGGTTTTTTCCTTATCCTATCTCCGTTCATCTTGATTCTCTCCTGACATCGAATCGAGGTGAGGGAGGAGGAGGAGGAGGAGGAGGAGGAGGAGGAGGAGGAGGAGCAGTGTTTGCGGTAACTGCGGCCGAAGTCTAATACCACTTTAAACTGACGTACGCATAAGCCATCATCTCTGCTCTCACGCTGGTGTGGAGTTCAAGAGGAACATTGTCGGTCACAAAGGTCAACCTGCCTTGCGAAATGAGTATTGTTGAAAAGCACCTAGTATATAAGCATGTCTTATTAATTATTCCAAAAACGTAAAAAAATCGAATCTAAATATACTACAGTGCACTGTAAACAATTAATAGTGTACGAAATCCAGTCCCTGCAGGATGGATCATTAACTTCTACATGCAACTTATGTTACAAGTGGAGGAAAGAAATAGTTCGAAAATATTCGGGTTAGTGAATACATACATATGGTATAGTAGACTAATGGGTTTAACAAGAAATCACCAGCATCTTTATTAAATGTAATAACCAAGAAGCATGTAACTGGCAATTCAGTGCCTGGTGAATTGTACGATAAAATTAATGTGTGATATCGAATTTTCTTTCTGAAAATCATTCTTTTTATTAAAACAGTCCGTTTATTCATATCAGACAACAGTCTTCCCTCCAAGGCTAACTATCGTTGGCGTCCATGTTCGTGAAAATGTTGCATTTTGATAAGGTCAACTTATGTTACAGGCTTCTGCCCAACTACTTTGTCCATGAGTCTTTGTAAACGCACAAAAACATTTGGGTTCACACAGTCAGGTCGGAATCAAAAGACTGCGATCTGCTCAAATATAGAGTAGATGGTGCCTTTGTTTGCATTGGCGTCAAGTAATATTTCCTGTTTTGTGCTACCTTACGGTTTCATTTGGATTTCAGAACAAAAACGACTTATAAACCAGCATATGAAGAAAACGTAACAGAAGTTATATCGTGAGGTAACAGGTCGTGCAAGAGCATTCCTATGCTATTGATAATTCATTTGAACAACGCCAGAAAAAGATACCAACACAAGTATTTCCTCCTACTTATGGTATATAAGTCCGCTTGACTGATAAGGCAAATCTTTAAAATACAGTGTCATAGCCGCCGGTGTAAATAGCAATTGCTCAGTAAAATCGCAATGCATTCTTTGCTTAATTTAGGAAAAAAACCCTATATATACATGCAACGGTAGAGAAGCTCCCACCAACGTCAATCGAACTAGCAGCCGCACAGCAGCGCGTTATATAGTGTGTTTTAATAAGTTCAAGTATTCGCCATGTGTTTGCTTAGGTGCACCTGCATGAAACTGCTTACTTCCTTTTCTTATGATATGAGGGGTTTCTTAGGAAAACACCTATTACATGTAGCGCACAAACCGACGACAACTTTATGCATTCTGCTTGTATGTCCTAAAGATGATATTTATTTTATTGCTAGAAAGGAAGTCGTCTGCAAGGCGAATGTGACGCCTGGGACGCAGTGTATTGAGGTCAAAAGGAAAAATTCGACTCCATAAGCATTTACGAGCACTGAGATGCCTCAAGCATCAGTCGAAATATTGGGTTAGATGTCGTGTATAAAAAGCCAAAAAGATATTTAGTGTCAAAAGCAAATCGTACACTGTAACGGCCTTCTATTGCAAAAACAAAGCAAATGTCCGTTTTTACGCATGCTGTAAATTCTTGCTACCTTTGTGCATTTACTTAATGTCAGAGGGTGATCTATGAAACCAATGTTGAAAGTCTTTCCAGTAAGGCTTCCTATTTTTCCCTATAGAATACATCTGACTTCAAAAACAAATAAATATGTACAGATCCATTATCGCAAAGGGACGCTCACTAATTAGGTTACACAGTGTGATCGTTCCGTTTTAGACTGGTGTTTAATAAGTCGTTAAAAAATTTGGAAATTATAAAATCATTACAAAGTACAATGTGCAACATACTGCAGAGACATACGCCGACCAAAAGCGTTGCAGTAGAAAAAATAGCAAAACCAATAAAAGCCATCCAAACGAATTCGAAACACTGTTACCGTGCATATTTATAGACTGACATTGAACGTCTTGAAGGTGATTGGATAACGCTTTATCGAATTTCAGGACTTCAAGTGTTTTGAGCAGTCATTGTGAGTTTTACTTTAAAAAATGCTCCTCATTGTCGGTATTTTATCACACGCAATTTATTTTGAACAAGTTACTGTAGGCACAAGAGTATGCATTTGTGCTATTATTATTGAAAATTGCTCATTGTTAAACTTCTGCCTCCTTCCTAACTAGACTGCTTGTTTAGATTACCTTCCAGGGAAGTGACGATTTCTAATTCTGACATAGATATGAATTTTTTGAAGCTCACGAATTTTCGGAATGAAGTATTCGGGCTTAGCGGAGAATTATAGTCTACTTTCAGAGTGAAACAATGCGAAACAGACGTTAGCGATTCGATCGAAATATGTCACTTATTCCTTTCATGCAGGTTTTCGACAGTTTCGAATCAGTCTTTTCGTCTTTTACCAAAGTATCAATGGTAGCCTGAAGCTTACATCGTAACTTAATACATGTAGCGTCTTGAGGCACTTTTCTATATTGCTTTAGTCAACGCGGAGTTCCTCCACAAGCGTTTTCGCGAAACCACATTCTATACATGGGGCTAGAAAAGCGACAGTATTTTACAGGATGTAGCTGGTAGCCATATGGGAATTCCCGGGGGAAGTATAAGCCACGTGACCTCAATCAAAATGAAGACCCCTTCCTATCAGTGTACCGTACAACTAGCATTCGTCTGTGATTGCTGTGTAGGCTTTAAAGTAGCTGTATCAGTTTCATAACGGATAATAAGTCATTTGATGAGGGGAACTGCTGTCCTAAACGGCTATCTAACTTTTGCAACTGAAACATTCTACGAATCTTCTCATCATCACGAAAAAATATAATAGTTTCTTAACTCAATCTATGCAGTATAAATGGAATAAATGCGTATGATGATTGTAATGATTGCGTACCGGCATAAGCATTCACAGCCTGGTGCCATTGGGTTGCACTTTGCCTTATCCAAAATGTCTCCGGATGTAGAAGAAGTGGGGTGTGAATGGAAAAAGCCAAACGAACCAAAATTGACCGACAAGGCTAACGGTGCACTATGTAAGCGCACATTCAGATAGAAGCACACGTTTGCGCAAACGCGGGTCATCTGAAGCCTAATTTGAATTGTGTACAATTTCCGATTCAGGTTATTTTGAACGTTTATGGTAGACGCTTCGCAAGAGGGTCGTTGATCAGTTTCAAAATGTACATTTGAACATCTCTTTTGCCGATGCCTCTAACTTCTTAGATCATTTATAATTTCGTACTTGCGATAATCGCGCCACAAGATGTCTTGTCTAAAGTGGATATGGAATTTTGTTTTCCCTTAGTTAAAATAATCAGCATACATATGCTTTTATTTATCGCAGAGGCAGGAGACACATTGATAAAAAACTAAAACAACGTACCTAAATAATTTCAGCTTAATGTTGTGCACCTGCTCGAAGTGAAATGTATCACCATTTGCTCACCTGCCACACGCTGTTTCTGCAAATAGGGTGGACCGGCAGTTTGCGATTCAAATTCAAGCTAGTAGTTTTTTCACATCTTAATTCCTATGTCCGCGGGCAAAAAAGTGAAAAAGACATTGTTTCGCGACACATCTAAATGTGACTACAATTATAACATCAACCACCCGAAGCAACACAGATCAGGCTGTATACGAACGAGATACCCGCGAGTGTAAACTGGTTGCAGCGCGCCAGCTACCAAATGGAAAAAAGTTGTCTATTCTGCTAACCCTTTGGAGTCAACGGCGAGGTTTAATCCTTCAGCTGCACCTGAGTGGTGCCATATAGTTTGTTTTCTGAAATATTTTAGTGGATGTGAATGCGCTGACTTTACAAATATCATGTGTTTGCATTATTCTTGCCATTTTAATTTAACAAGTGTCACGGGAGGAGGAGTGCTTATGCGTTAGCCTCAGTTACTTCAGTTATCAGTCCACACGCGCTTCCCTGAGCGTACTTCGAGCCTTACTTTCGCGTTCTTTATTATCTCAATCCAGCGACCGACTAAGAAAACTTAATTATGGAAGTGTTCGGACGGTATGGAACTCCGTTGGTATCGCTAAAGTAGTCATGATCTGCGAATTACCACGCGGTTCCCCCCGTAACCTTCCAGTTGTGATTTCAGCCCCTTGTCCTATTAATCCACCAAGTTGTTCCGTCGGGGGAGAGTGTGTACACGCCACAGTCACTCGCCTCTCTGCGCGTACTTCGAGCTCTGCTAGCACTCTCCTTCCCATTTTAATCCAGCGAGTGGCTATTTCAGGTATGTCGGCTAATATTGTTTTAGTAAGCTAGCCATACGGTATCAATCAATTGGGGCTGCAGAACTTAACCTCGCCTAGTCAACGTTTAAACACCGGTACAGAGATATGGAGTGAATCGCCCACAACGTGCCGCGGCATTCTGTATTTGAAGGGAATCTTCGACGCCGTGGCTAGATAGCCCGCGCTAATTGAAATAAGAGTTGCTCACATGCCTCACTGGAAACACGCCGGCAAGTTATGCGATCCAAGTTCACCTCCTCTTAACAGGAAAAGTTTTCTGTAATTTAATGACTTCAAGGCAACCGCTGGACTTGCGAATACGGTACAACTACTGATCGATGGGAAAGACCTTGTCAGAAGCCACTGTAAGGAACTTTAGGCAGAACATTTCTGGACTAATATTGTGGAATTTTAAGAGAATGTCAGCACTACCCACACGAAGGAATATGATGGTAAAGTTTAGGCTAAAAACTTATGATATAAAGCATGCGCGGGGAGCGTACGAAGCAGTTGTGTTTAAATGAGGCAGTCATCACCTTACATATTTTTAATTCGGTCTGCTTATGCTAAAATACATATTTTTTGTTCAATCCTACGTGTGTTTGCTCTACAACTTATGTTGGTATTCACTATAGCTATAAGAGTTCATGATCCGTCCGACCTAATTGTCAGAAATACGTGTACGAAATATAAGTTGATCGATGTTAACGGCAACTAGTTACCTGATATTTTTAACCAA